GTAGAGGGGTCTCACTATGTTGACCAGGCTGGTCTCAAACTCCTGGCCTCAAGCAATCCTCCTGCCTTTGCCTCCTGAAGTGTGAGGATTACAAGCATGAGCTACTGCACCTGGCCTTACCCCACATCATCTTAATTCAACAGGAGATACACATGATTTGAAGCTTTCTGATAGGGCTTCTCTATTTCTTACTGATCTGTACTTCTCATGTATTATTCATGAGAGTCCCAACCCAAAGCCTGGGGTCTTATAAGGACCCATCTCCCCTAGTAGTCTGATTTCCAGTATTGTATTTCCAATCCCTTGCATCTGTTGAAAGCTCTGTTTAGCATGTGTGCTTCTGAAATCAGTAGATAGCTCTGAGGAAAAGTGGCTGCATTTTTATTTTTTTTTCCTCGAGATGGAGTCTTGCTCTATCGCCCAGGCTGGAGTACAGTGGTGCGATCGCAGCTCACTGCAACCTCTGCCTCCTGGGTTCAAGCAATTCTCCTGCCTCATCCTCCCAAGTAGCTGGGATTACAGACATGTGCCACCACACCTGGCTCAATTTTTTTGTATTTTTAGTAGAGACAGGGTTTCACCATGTTGGCCAGGCTCATCTTGAACTCCTGACCCCGTGATCTGCCCACCTCAGCCTCCCAAAGTGCTGGGATTACAGGTGTGAGCCACCACGTCTGGCCCTTGGCTGCAAATTTTTGACTCACCTCTCAATGTGCATCTCTCTGATTTTGACCATGCAGTTTTCCTCCCTACCTTGGTGTATCTCTGATGCATTCAAACAAATGTAGGGTTAAAATGTTAATCCAACTTTTCTAGTTGTTTTCAGCAAATGGATTGATTGACATTACCTACTTCATCATTGTAGGAAGGGAAATATTATTTAAATTTTTAACATAGCATCCCACTTTTTTTGTTTCCTTTTCCCCTAAACTCTGAGGTCTGTGAGAGGAGGAGCTATCTTATTCATCTTGATGTGCCCAGGACTCAGCACAGAACTTGAAATACAATATATGATTATTAAATATTTGCTAAATCAGTGCATTCTTTTTCTTTTCTTTTCTTTTCTTTTTTTTGAGACAGAGCTTCTCTCTGTCTCCCAGGCTGGAGTGCAGTGGCATGATCTCGGCTCACTGCAACCTCCTCTTCCTCCTGGGTTTAAGCAATTCTCTTGCCTCCGCCTCTCAAGTAGCTGGGATTACAGGCACCCGCCACCATGCCTGGCTAATTTTTTTTTTTTTTTTTTTGTATTTTTAATAGAGTCAGGGTTTTACCATGTTGGCCAGGCTGATCTCAAACTCCTGACCTCAGGTGATCCACCCGCCTAGGCTTCCCAAAGTGTTGGGATTACAGGTATGAGCCAGTGCACCCAGCCTCTCCTTGGGATTTCTGGTAAATAATGTAATTTTTTTTTACCCTTTCCAGAAACCAAAAACTGTCACTTGTGCATAGTAGTATGCCAAGGGCAGGGCAATGAGAGCTGTCCTCTCTGGGTGTGGTCAATTGGTTAATACACAGACCAACAAAATTTTTTTCCCTGAGGGGTATTTTATCACTGACATTGTTTAGAATTGCTGGTAGATGGTGATAGTAAGAAGTAGATGACTTTTAGTGATTTTACTGTTTTTAAAATTCTCACCATAAAATGTGCTCCTATTGCCTGCAGTCTAGGATGGACTGCTCCCACTCCCTAACCCTTGATACGCACAGCTCATGACAATGGAGGCAAGGTTTTGGGGGACAACCTAGCTGGGTTCATAAAAAAGTGTGTGCCCCTGTAGTGAGCGGCCCAGCTGGTTTTGACACATTGCATTATTCCTGACCGTTCCATCCTCTCCTGGCTCTCTGGAGAAACATTTATCTGCACTAAATTGCTTTAAACCACACTTCTACTGATGAGATTGGTCAGGACACGGTGGCAGGCAAGTGCTAGAATATTATTTACTCAAACTGCATAGTCATGTTGGGGTTTGCTTTTCATACTAGATGCCCCTTGAGGACAGGGGCAGGTCTTGTTCATTATTGCCTGTTCCAAAGCAACAACTCCAGGATTGCACAGAACTGGAGTTCAATCAATATTAGTGACATTGAATGGTTCTCTCCTGTATGTCATTTCACACATAAAACAAACACAATATTATTTGTTATGTGCTTGATTCTTTAAAACCAGCATGCATGAAAGATAAGTTTTTTGGAGAATATATGACATCTTGTTAAAAAGCCCTTCTGCTTCCAGGGATATAATTTTAGGATAAATTGGTAATGCACAAGTAAGAAACACATTATTTGTTAAAAGGGGGTGGGAAACACGGATTAAAGAAATAGGTTTGGCTGGGCGCGGTGACTCACGCCTGTAACCCCAGCACTTTGGGAGGCCAAGGCGGGCAGATCATGAGGTCAGGAGATCAAGACCACCCTGGCTAATATGGTGAAACCCTGTCTCTACTAAAAATACAAAAAATTAGCCTGGTGTGGTGGTGGGCGCCTGTAGTCCCAGCTACTTGGGAGGCTGAGGCAGGAGAATGGCATGAACCCGGGACGTGGAGCTTGCAGTGAGCTGAGATCATGCCACTGCACTCCAGCCTGGGCAACAAAGCAAGACTCTTTCTCAAACAACAACAACAACAACAACAACAAAAAACAAAAAAAATTAAATAAATAAAAAATAAGTTTTATATTATAAAGAAAATAAAGATTCATGACCAGGAAACCTACATAGTAAAGGGAAATACTATACATTAAAAGATGAGTTCATGAAAGTCAAAGGCAAACTGAGGTTCCTTGTGTAGAAAGACTTTCAATAAGCCTACAAAACTCAGTTGAGAATATTCCTCTTTGGTTATGCTCTTATTTATCTGTTATTTTAGAGGTTGATAGGCACTGAAGTTCACCTATCTAGATATCTGGAACCCAGGACCACCTTAAAGTTATCTGAACTTACATTCGTGACTTTTTTTTTACTTGCTTAAGCATTAAGTCAACTGGTTGACATCTCAGTAAATTTTCAGAGCGTGGCATTTATTTTTTTAATGCTACTAACAGCAAACCTTAGGGAACTGTTACATTTATTCATTCTTCTTCAGTGAGTCACTTTGATCTTGGAATTCTTTTATTCCTAATCATTCTTAAACATTTCTTTTTGTCCTCATGAATTTGTCTTTAAATGAGAAGCTCATTGATAAGTTTGTTTTTTGAAATTAACTGTGTTAGTCATTAATACTATACACTAGTATAGTGTTGGTTTCTCCACCATTCCAGAAATGCTGGTGGGACTGTATTTCTCAACATTAGGCTAGGTAAAATGATGTGACTAGCTCTGGCCATTGTGTTGTAAACAGAAGTGACATGTGTTACTTCCTGGTCAGAGAATTTAATAGTTCATGTAAGACGCTCCAGCAATCTCTTTTCCCTCTGGCATGGTGACCAGCAACATTTGCTCTGTCAACCTGGATCTTTAAATGGCCAGGATGAGCTGAGCACCCCTGCTGACCCGCGATGAATATGTAGTGTGAACAACAACAAAAATCCTTTGTGGTTTTAAACCACTAAGATTTGGGGATTATTTATTACTATTCGTATCAGAATTCTACCGTAGACATAGAACCAGTATACACACACACACACACACACACACACACACAAACACACACAGAAATTGATTTATTGAAAGGAATTTGCTTACGTGATTGTGGGGGTTGCTAGGCAAGTCCACAATCCATTGGCAGCTCACCAGGAAGGGTGAGCCGGAACTCAGGCAGGAGCTGATGTTGTAGTCTACAAGTATAATTTCTTCTTCAGGGAAGCCTCAGTTCTGCTCTTAAGACCTTTTGAGGCCCACTGAAGATTATCGAGGAAAATCTTTCTTAGTGAAAAAATCTGATTATAGACTTTAATGATATCCACAGAAAGCCTTCACAGCAACACCTGGCTCAGTTTGTGTGTCACTGAGTAACGGGGGACAGTAGCCTAGTCAATTTGACACATACAATTGACCATCACACTATGGCATAACATAACTAGGCTCCCCAAATTGCATGATCATAGGAACAATTCAGCAATATATCACTGTCTGCAGACCTTAGACTCCTTAAATGTTCCAGCTCTTGTATCCTTTTTATATAAATAACTACAAACTGACTGGCTGAGTGACAAACTCCAAAATACAGAATGTTGTTTTCAACCCATATGCTAAATGGTAGCTTATGACATTCTTTTTACTTTTGAATGAGTGTCCACCATAGGCTAAATGTGAAACAAAATATCTAACACACCACCACCAAAGTAAATAAATAATCTTAAAAATCATCTCACCCTAGACCTTCTGATATTACTAATCTCTACTTAAATTGAGCTGGGAGCCATGCAGGATAAACATGTCTTGATACTACCCCCACTTCCTCCATTTCCTCCTATGACATTTCAATAGACCCAGCTTGCTTCATCGGACCCCCAGGAGTGATTTCGCTTCTGTGTTCTACACATTTCTGTAAACTGCCTCCTTACACCAAATATTCAGCATACTATTAGCAACTTTTGCACTTGTTAAGTCAATCATTAGACTGTGTATTTTAAGACATTATCTAAATTTATAACACATCTGTCTCTACTTAACTCTGTGTATTCTACGCCTCATTTTCCTCATATAGAAAAATAGTGGGTCTGGGCTTCGAGAGTTTTAATTCACTCTCCAGCTCTAACAACCTCTATGTCTATCATGTAGTCATTTCCTAACTTTTGCATTTCCATGCTCAATGTTTCAAACATACTTTGTGAGTCGAACACATTTGATTACTATTGATTTGATATTTAACCCTCACGGCATGGATCCACATGCTTCACCATGGAGATCTCTGACATGAGTCTCCGTCCGACCCAAAAGGTATACTACAGTGTTTCTTTTTCTTTCCTCTTTTCCTTCCAAGCTACTTAAAAACGAGGACGGCTTTCACTTTGTCGTGTTAGTTAGGCCCTTCCAGGTTTCAAAGAGCAGACACACAGTCAGGTTACTTCAGCTAACGTGAGTTTATTTATGTCAATACATAGGAAGAAAAAAAAGCAACCCAGGAACTACAAAGTCCAGACTCATTGTTCAGGAATCAAGTATTTCTCCAGTAACCTAAGAGCAGAAATGGCGAATCAACAAGAACTCATTGTCTTGACTGCAGAAGTAACTGCTGTCACTGCTCTCAGAGGCACCATTGCGGTGACTGTGTCTATTTTGGCTGCGCTTCCTATTCATCATTTACTTTCTGGTATTCAAACTCCCTAAAAGAGGGCTGTGACTGGTTGGGCCACGTGCCATCAAAAAAGAATACCACTGCTAGGTACACTTTCATTCCTTAGGCCACCCTCTGGCCTGCAAATGAGTCTCTTTGGGTCAGGTACTGAACCTTGGTACAATCAGCTGTGGCCAGTGTAGAGAGCTCACATGGCAGAAAATACAGTTTTGCTCCTGGAGCTGTGGAGGTAGGGTCTCTCCAAGACACCAGGAAAACTATAGATCCACCTATGAAATACGAATAAGAGAAAGCTTTATCACTGGGGACAAACCCGCCTTTGTTTCTCAATGACATTTGCCTACAGAGGATTTTCAAAGTGCTTTATCAGTACTATAACTTTGCTGAAAATAAGGTGTTGCCTTCTTTTTATTCCATTTTCTAGGATGTTGCCTTTAGTAACTCGCCCCTTTTAAAGAAGCAGCTAGTCTTCGCTTTTAAGTAATGACAAGTAAAATTGTAGATCACGCTCTGATTTGAATGTTATTGGATATTTTCTGAGTTGTCTTTAAAGATCTTCATCCTCCACTTACACTGGAAAGTAACATATAATTTCAATGTTTTTAATCCTGGGAATTGAGGTCACATTTCCAAGATTTGTTGTGCATTTGTGTGGGAAAACTCTAAATTAGAAACCATCTGTGTTTGTCTTGCAGGGGGCTCAGAATGTCTCATCTGTTTTTCAGAATTTTCTGCCCATGGGGAATAGGAGAGTCCGTAAGGGAATTAATAATTTTTTAACGTCTGAGCCAAAAGGAATGGGTTTGAGAGCCAGATATCCACTTCATAAAAAGAGATCTTTTCTCCTTACTAATTTATCTCTCAAATAAAACTAAATCACAAATAATCTTCACCCTTACTATGATTTAATTGGACTCCTTGTACATGACTGTCATCAAACAGCCCAATTTTTAAAAAACCACAAAATTGTAGCATTCAGAAATGCCGATAAAAATCAGAATACTATTGACTATTGCAGACTCAAAGTTCACTTCTAAGCCTTTGCTAACCTCTCAAATGATAGTTTTTTAAAAAAAAAAATCTGCCTCTCATATTGATTCTCTTTATGAAAAGAGTACCCACCTTATTACATATTGTGCATATCCTTTCAGAGATAAGACTGCCTCAAATCCAAATTACTTTAGTAAATCAACACATCTTATCCTGTGTGGGTCTTGAGAAAGGAACCATATAAAGCACTCCAAGTTGTCTGGCTCAAGTAGGTTGTCAGCGTCTCACCCTGAGCCTGGCGCCTCAGACCACTCGGCCATCCTGAGACTCTAGGTTGTCAACTTCTAAGTGCCCCAGTGGGAAGGGAATTTACACACTGGGGGAGCTGGCTGAGATGGCTGTCAAGGTGTGCTCTACACCTGAGATTCAATGTGCGTTTGTTGAGCAAACACTAGGTTCTGTAGTGGGGTCTCTATGATTGTTTTTTTTTTTTTTCACTAAAAGATAATTTACTCAGAATGAACATTTATTGGAATTTTTTTTTTTTTGTAAGAGATAGGCATAGTGTTTCAAAGATGCCTCCTTGTGTGAATATACAAAACAGTGGGCCCATTGGACCAGTCACATCTACCTTCTTCAGAATTCACCACAGTACAGTTTGGTTACTGATGAGAAGAGACTGATTTGTTTCTGAGATCAGCTTGAGGAGAAAAAGAAATGCCTCATCTCACAGTATGAAAAAGCCATCTAATATTTACTTCTGAAAAAACTGAGCATCTGGTTATACGAAAGGTTTGAGAATTTTAATGATTCCCCCAAATTCAACCCTTTATCGAACCAATTTATTTAGGGATCTTAAGGTTAATAATATAGTTATATCCAGGTACAAGTTTATCCTATGTATATAAACGAACATTAAAAAATTCAAGATACCTTTTGTAACAGAATTAGAAGTTTAGTAGTTGAACATAGCGAAAGAAAATGTGGAATAGTCTATTAAATATAACTTCTTTTTTTCAAATTGCCAAAAGAAGCGTAAATGACCAGCGAAGTTTTAGAACTCTGTAAGTACAAGACTGCTAATGGGTCAAAAATAAGAAAATTTCATTTTTACGTCTTCGAGAAACTTCTGAGGAATACCCACTGAGTCACTGTAAAAAGCAGCATCTTCATAATTCAGCCAAAGATGGGAGTTCTCTCAAATGAGAAAGATAAGCTGCGAACTGGGGTTGACCTCAGGGCTGTTCAAAAGCCTCCGTTGATTTAAGTCAATAAGGTGAAAATGGTAAGCAGCTGTTTTGTTAACAACATAGAAAAGGAAAATGAAAGATGCTGATTCAAATCAAATTGGAAAATGTTGAAAATAGGTTAATTTATCTACCTTGGAAATAAATGGAAGTTATATTAATTCCGCCTTTAAAAGGTGTATAATAAAGCACACCAGATCATTGGGAATAAATACAGAAAGATAAAGGAATGAAACATTTGTCCAGGATATGTGGGGCTGTTTGTAAGGACTGAGTTTGAATAAACAATAACAAAGTATCTTTCATTATAGGAAGTGACTGTTCTATGCAAGTAATGGCAGCATTTTGCATTCCTAAAGTTAAAAATAATGAAATGAATTTTGGACACAGAAACACACACCAGTGGTCATTCGTATGGAGAAAAAAAAAAAAAAGTGAATTGTAGGATAGAATTCCTGAGACAGATAGACCCTGGATCTGATCTTATCAAGAAATTCTTATGGTCTTTCCCCCCACCTCGTCCTGGAATTTAGTTCAATAAAAGTTCCTAAAAACAAACAGAATGAATCAGAGTCACTGAGTATAGCCACAGGCTGGCGGGAAATGAGCTTCTATCAATCCCAGGTTCATCGAGGCACTTGTAACAAACCATTAACTGCATTTCAAAAAAACCCCCACATTTTTCGAAGGGTGAGATCAACCAAAAATCTGATCAGACCCCTCTCACTAAGAACTGCATCGGACATGAGACAAGCAGTAGCACAGAGAGAGCCCGAACGGGAAAAGTGGTGCCCAGAGTTACACAGATGCAAAGTGTGTCTGCAGACCTTTTGTTTCTTTGTCTGCTTTGACTTGTTAAAGACGCTAGTTTTCATTCTCTATGCCACGGGACCTAGGAAGTCTGTGCAGCATCTCTTGACAGGATTCTTTGAAGTCAGTGGGGACATTTCCGGCATTCCTTGTTTCTATCAGGTTCAGGTACCTAAAGCTTGTTGTTTACAGAGCATGGATGTCATCTCACTGTTCCACTTCCTCTCCAATGGTTGGATAAGCAGTGATTCAATTATTTGATAGGCTAGTGGCCAGTGGCAATGCAGTGGAGGCCCACAGTATTGATCTTTGATGGTGTGTGCAATGATTTGATTTGGGGGGATATGGTGATGGGGCTTGGGAAGAGAGCAGGCAGCATAAAAACTGTCCATGCTCTAATGGCAGTTTTCAACTGGTAGGCCCATGGGAAGGTCATCTTGAATTCCACAGGAGAGAGAAGTGTTCTCATAGAATAAATTATTGTTTAAAATCAACACTTGAGGATAAATAAGGCACTAAGTTAGTGTTAGTGGTACTGAAATCCAAAGTATAGTCTCTAATTGTGTTTGTTTTCCTTTTTGCCTCTTGGGAAATAAATCTGGGAATGTTAATGGGGAATAGTCACCCTGCTCTTCGTAATTTCTGGCATGGACATGGACATCCATCAGAAGGTGTCAGATTAACATGTTTTTTTGTTTTTCATTCTTTTCCTCCTGAAAAGTAATTCCTGGGATATTTGGGGGGTGGGAGGAATGGAGGTTGATAGTTTGTTTAGCACAGACACTAAGTCTAAAAGAAAGGAAAGCCATCTCTAGAGGGATAGATAAAGCATCCAAATGAAAGAGAAAGTTCTGCAGAATGAAATGTTCTCTTGGGAGACATGAACCCATTTCGGACACTATTGGTATGGGGGCCACTTTCCTGGCTGCCACAGAGGGACAGTGTGGCCCCGTGGAGTCACCACCGCTGCCCAGACTCCCCTGATTAGGGGCTTGCTGTGTCTGGTAGGCATCTGCTGCTGCTGCTTGGCAGAAAAGCCTGGGATGCAGCTCCTGGTGGTGGCATTTTGCGAGGCCTCAAAAGGAAATGGCAATGCTGGTCATTCCATAAAGGAGGACATTCTCTTCTCGTAGCACATACAGCAGATAAGTGACAGTGAAGAGGCCCCATGACACCAAGCCTATGAGTGTCCCATGGCTGTGGATGAATACTTCAGGGGACAACTTGAGAACTAACAAGTTTTGGTTCTTGTGGTTGTTTTTTTCTCCCTTTAGACATCCTTTTTAAAACCAACCCAGGTTGCTTTTGTTTGTCTGAGTGTGAACTTGGTAGGTTTGTCTCCACTCCTACTCTGATTCCTTCTTTCCTTTATTTCTTTATTATTTTTTTAGAGGCAGGGTCTTACTGTGCTACTCAGGCTGGTCTCAAACTCCTGGCCTCAAGCAGTCCTCCTGCCTTGGCCTCCCAAAGCGCTGGGATTACAGGCGTGAGCCACTGCACCCAGCCTACTTTCTTTTTAAAATCATCACCAAAACCACGTTTACTTTATTGGGATAACTGGCAGAGTTATAACTCCCAAATCAAACATGGATTGTGTATATGGCAAATATTTGGAGTCTTACGGGCTGGCTATTATTGATGAGGAATTTCAGTGAGAATCTCCCAGTTAGTCATAAAAACATTCTACCCTTAAAAATACAGCTTCCTTCCAGCTCTCCTGATCAACTGGTTAAATATCTAGTGAAGCAATACTTTCAAATAACAAGAAGGGAAGTTATCATAGCCCTTCTATATTAAGTAAATCCATTGGGTAAGATTCATAGGCTCCTCGATCACTTTTTTGGCATTTAGAAATCAAGTCTTCAGAAATGAAAAAGAATAATTGAATGTTTCCTTGCTCTGAAAATACATGTATATTATGGTCCTGAAGAACAAGCTCTAGCACGATGTCTAGTGTTGTGTTGATGTTATTCCTGCCAAAGCGGCCCAACACAATGTTCCATTGAAATGTTGACAATCCAGAGCTCTACCAGGGTTTCTGTGGTGCCGTGTTCTTTTCACCCACATTTGCAACTGCAAGCTGTGAATTTATTTTTCTTTGTGGATTCTTGGGGAGGACCTGGTGTTGATTCTATCAAGATATGACAAAGATTATTTCAAGAAAAAGATTATATATTGTAATGCTTAGCATTTATATAGGTTCTTTTGATTTCAAAACAAGTTATAAATATTTCCTACCGTGACAACATCCTTGCGAGGTAGGTGAGTATTACTATCTACATTACCAAGAGAAGCCCGAGGCCAAGCAGTGAGAAGCTCTGCTTTGAGTCACAGAGTCGGGAACAACATTGGAACTGGACATCCCGGCCACCTGCTGTGGGCTCTGAAGAGGCCATGCCTCTCCCTAGTGTAGCAATGGTCTCCATTAATACAGGGGTATATATTGTATAGATATAAAACAACAACACACAATTACATTATAGAACAATAATTCAATATTTCTGTTTCTTAGTAAAATATGTTAAGCACAGTATTTAAATTGCATTTCTCTGAAAAGCATTTGGTATATTAAATAGCACAAGGTATATTAAATAGCTCTATAAATGTTTGCTGGCATACTCTTAACAGCATAATGATTCTAAAGAAATTAAAATCCACTGAAGCATAGAGATCTTTCCTTTATAATACCATAAACTGAACAAAAATGTGAAAAACTACTTTATTCCCAAAATGCAGACTTGATAGCTTGCTGGATATAAGCAGGTGGCCACGTAATTTCGTAATTTATCTGAGCTTGAGAGAAAGGACATATATTGCTGACTGTCGTTTTTTTTAAAATACCAATTCGGTAGGGGAAAAAAGGATTCAGTTGAAAGGTAAAAATGAAAGACCACTATTTCCACGTAGTATCCACTCTGAGAAATTTGTAGGTTTTCAAAAGATGTTATCATAGTTAGAAGTAATGTTGAGGTTGAATACAGAATATAATAGGAACATTTTGTGAGAAGAGAAAATGATACCAAATAAAATCCATGGTATAAGAAGAAAATGAGCAAGACAGAAAAGGATATTTTTCAAGGGTGTTGAAGGCTGGCATGAGATGTAAGCTGTTCACGCTTAGCTGACTGTGTAGGTCTTGGAGACGATTTACAAGGATAAACACTGGTTTTATCAGTCTCTTCTCCAAGGCAAAAATCCTCACCTTTCTCTCTAAATTAGCAGTTCTCAGAATGGTGTTAAAGAGCCCATCTCATGCTAAGCTTCCTAACAACTGACCGGGTAGGTCAGCAGAAAAAGTTCTCAAACTAGAAAGAAGCAGGAATGAAAGTCTTAAAATTTGTATGCAAATGTAAAAACTAACTTCTATGCCAGAATGACATTCTCTGTCAGAGGTAACAAATACAAAAATCTTAATTTCAGTGTACACGACGCTAAGATATTGTTAGATAGGTATTATGTGTCGTTCAGAGAATATTTTTTATAAGTGTGCTTTTTCCCTAAAAAAAAGAGACATATTAAAGTGTTTTTTTCTCTCCTCAAGTCCTTTATGTATAAATATGAAATACGGAACTGTCCTATCAGTTTGTTTATTCACGTTATACGTTCCAGGGATCCTTTCCGCCTGCATCGTCTGTGGCAGTTTTGTTGGAGGGCGGTTTGAGTTTGAACAGGCTTGAGCAGTTCGGCTGTTTGGTTGGCTGTAAGGTTTTGGCATACGGTGAATACCAGTCCCTTTCAAACACATCTTTAAGTTGCTTAATGATGCTTCTGTTGTTTCTCACATCTGCCTGGTTGATAACAAGGCCCGTTCCAGCATTCTGTGTGAAATCATTCCCTACCCAATCAAAATTTCCTGCAAACAAACAAAGAAATAATGTTGAGGAGTTAGAGTCCACTGGGAACATACCCAATATAATGAAATTCAGAGTGGATTCTATTAAAAATCATCAACACCCAGAAATAACAACGGAGAGGCTGAATTGTGTTGACAGCTCCGAAAAAAAAAAATCCAGGAAGTCTTACATATGGCATATTAATATTTGCATATTATTTTGGCGTTTTCTTCAGCTTTGCTCCGGTGGAAACTCAAAACAAGGAATCTGCTGTTCTTTCTTGTAAATGTTATTTCTTATTGACATTCTAGATACAGCGAGCCAAGCCACACTAAATACAGCAACATTTAAAATATATAGGGATTCATTTAAAAATCCTGTGAGTAATTACTACCTTCTCAAAGAGACAACATCTAATCCCTGTGAACAAATGAGGGATTCTAATTAAGAGTCCCTGAAGCCACACTAAATACAGCAACATTTAAAATATATAGGGATTCATTTAAAAATCCTGTGAGTAATTACTACCTTCTCAAAGAGACAACATCTAATCCCTGTGAACAAATGAGGGATTCTAATTAAAAGTCCCTGAAGCTTTCACATCAAAGAAAACGCTCAAGCCAGAGAAGGAGACTCAGTTTCTAACAAACACCCGACTGGACTAGAAATCATTTCCCAGATCCAGGATCCAGCCTCTTGGCCCAGGAAGTGGGGCAGGTGCTATGAGAACAGCCTCTCAAGGATGACTGCCCGTGTTACGTGGTGTATTCATGTTTTCAGGGCTGCCATAGCAAAGTTCCACAAATTGTGTGGATGAAACTAGAAATGAATTGTCTCATGCTTCTGAAGACAAAATCCAGGTGTTGGGAGGGTTGATTCCTTCTGAGAACTGTGAGCAGGGATCTGTTCCAGACCTTTTTCTGTGGCTTGTAGATGGGCATTTTCTATTTTCTTTCTATTTATTTATTTATTTATTTATTTTTTTAATTTTTAAATAGAGATGGGGTCTTGCTATGTTGCTCAGGCTGGTCTTGAACTCCTGGGTTCAAGTGATCGTCCCACCTCAGCCTCCCAACATGTTGTCTGCCCTCTATGCATGCCTCTGTCCAAATTTCCCCTTTTGACAAGGACATCGTTCATATTAGATTAAGGCCACACTAATGATCTCATTTTAACTTGACAATTTCTCTAAAGATCCGCCTCTCAATAGAGTTACATTCTGAGGTACTGGGGTTAGGACTTCAACATATGACTTTTGGAGGGACACGATTCAGCTCATACAAAGGAGTAAGCCTGGGATCTGCCCTAGAAGAGACTAATGTGTAAGCCACTCCCGTGCAGTCCATCTTCGAGGTGTAGGGGAAGCAGTGGCGCCTGAGAGCTAGAGTAATGCCATTTTCAGTTCAGCTCCATCTTGAGACTAACAAGGCATGTTCCTTGCCAGTCACAACCATGGTCATTGATGTTTACAGCTGAGAAAACAACCTAAAGATACCCCAAAGGATACAGTCCTACAGCGGTGGAAAGTCCAGATGTCCCAATACCCATAACAGTATGTGCTTTCAGGATAGCTATAGTTACGCTTTATGTACTTACACACTAGAATGTCATTACACATAAGAATGTTTTCTTTAAATTGATAGAATAATACATTTTGTCATGCTGTCAGCTTACTCACACATAGACACAGCTTAGCTTAGCTTTTACACAGATAAGACTCCTATATAAGAGAAACACACCACATCCCTCCACTTGCTTTCTGTGGACACCCTACTCTGTAGTTGAGTAGCTTTCTTCTTTTTCTTTTCTTTCTTTCTTTCTTTTTTTTTTTTTTTTTTTCTTGAGACAGTCTTGCTCTGTTGCCCAGGCTGGAGTGTGGTGGTACAATCTTGGCTCACTGCAACCTCTGGCTCACGGGTTCAAGCAATTCTCTGCCTCAGCCCCCTGAGTAACTGGGGTTACAGGAGCCCACCACAATGCCCCCACTAATTTTTTGTATTTTTATAGAGACGGGGTTTCACCATATTGTCCAGGCTGGTCTCGAACTCCTGACCTCAACTGATCCACCCATCTCGGCCTCCTAAAGTGCTGGGATTACAGGTGTGAGCCACTGTGCCGGGCCTGATTGATTTATTTTTAGAGGCAGGATCTCTCTCTGTTGCCCAGGCTAGAGTGCAGGGGCCTGATCATAGCTCATGGTAGCCTTGAACTCTTGAGCTCGAGCAATCCTCCCACCTCAGCCTCTTAAGCAGCTGTGAGTACACGTGCAACCACCGGAACCAGCTGCTGCTTGGTATTTCTATATATTATTTGTATGGTTGGTGGGACTTACTTCCACTCAAAGGGGTGAATAAATTTGCCTAATCACATGGCTAATCAATGGTGCACCCAGGTCTGCCAGACTGTATGATAAACCAGGAATTATTCCCATTAAAAGATATCTAGCCATGTCAAGGTGGACAAAATTATCTTCAAAATTACCACCAGGCCAGGTCTGATCTAAGCTGGCCTTAGATCTCTTCTTTGGGTAAGAGCTGATTCCATAAAGGGAACTGACAGGTTTTAGGTGGAGATATTGGCCTTCCATCCCCTCTGCAGCAACTCAGGTTCCACTGCAGAAATCACTAAGATGCTGAGATCATCCGTCTCCCTGGGCACCCCTGGCCCAAGGGCCTGCAGTCATCTGTGGGAGAAGCGGCTGGAAGAAAGCACATCTATGGAGACAGCCAGTATCTCTTCCTTTGCAGCTTTTGTATTTTGGTCTCTGCTCTGTATTCTGGAGCCCTCAAACATACCAAGTCCCTTTTCCATTTGGCACCCCCAGGAACATCAGAAGGTGGTTTCTTGTCTCTCATTTTACTCCTAAAGTTTATTCCTCAGAGCCTACGAACACCGAGTCCCTAAACCAAATATCGGCAGAGAGAAGGACCTGCCCCCTTTTGCTTTATCCTTCTCCCCTCATCCCTACCCATCATCTGCCCCCTGGATAAACAGCACAATGGTACTATCAGTGGCTTCATGATAGACATAGCTTTGGATGAATTTTTTGATATAAATTAGTGAACTGTCCCCCAAGTGGTACATAATACTGTGCTGGTGTCTCTGCACAGAGACCCCCGTGGCTAATGTGGTGTTCCTGGCCGTTCCTCTGAGACACGTGACTATGCGCAGAGGCCGCAGTTCTGTGCAAATGCTCAGCGCCAGGTAAATACAAGACTGGATCTCTAAACTGGGGATTAGTAGCTTCTGTGGGTTGAGCATTGCTCAAGTGTCCCTTGCCAGGCAGTATCTTCTATTCATTCTGTAAGCAAAAGGCTCCTGTGGTCTTGTGTGTCCTTTAAGGACTTTTGGATATGAGACTAAAATCTTGTCCCCACAGCCGTTGCCAGGCACTGTAACAAGGGCAGTGAATATATCATCTCATTACATTATTTCTTCAATTTTCACTGCTGTCCTGAGGTGGTAATATGAACTCCATCGTATCGATGAGGAAATCAAGGCACGGAAAGGTTAAGTAATTTGTCCAAAGCAGGAATAGAAAAACATCAGAGCTGAGGTTCAAAGCCAGGTCTGACTCCAGGGTCCACACTTTACTTGTACTCCATGTTGCCTCTGATCCTAAAGGCATCCTTTGTGCCAGGAATTGTGTGCCTCACCCTGGACTACAACGTCAACCTCCCGAGGTCAGGAGCATCACAGCCATGTTGAGAATTCTACTCCGTGCATGTGCAGACGATACTCTCTGAAGGAAATATACATAGAAATATGCTTTGGGGGCAGCCTGGGGTGGGGGGAAAATGAGGGAGAGAGGTTACGAGATTTTGAAGGCTTATTCTATAAAATACAGCTTTGTTTTCCTTCGACTTCAATGGATTGAGCCAAGATCCGGCATCTTTACTGATACTCAAAAGCTTTAATTAGGCTCGCCTCAGGAATCATGGCTCTGGGAAGCTTCCACAGGCTGATAAAGGAATTCCTGCGCCCTTGTGATTGTGCTCTTCTACCTTTCACTTCCTGACAGTCTGGCTTGACTTCAGAATCACATATATGCTTCAGTGTTTTTTTAATTGGGAGGCAATTTCATCCAGCTTTTTTTGAGACTGCCACTGCAGCTTCCAAAAATGCATGCTGAGCCCCCAGTTGCCAGAACTGTAGTGTCACCCAGAGGGACATGACGATGAGGTTGCAGGAGAGCTCGCTGGGAAGGTTCATGGGCCTTCGGGTGCCTTCCCTCCACCCACCACATCCTTGTCAGCCCTCCAATCCTTCAAACCATCTCCTAGACAAGTTTGCAGAGCTTAACTCAAATGTGCCCTGGAGATTTCAAAATTAGAGAGATGACACTGTTTGGGGATTCTTCTGTGAGTCTTGTGAAAACTTAATGGAGTGGTGATTCCGTTCCAGGTCCACTGTGGAGTTTGCTCAACTCCGCGTTCTCAGCAAGTATCTCAGTGACGACTTAGGAGATCAGAACATGCTGATAATTATTTAAATTATTGATGGATTTTTTTCTCCTAAGGTTCTTTGAGTATTTTTATACTAGAACTATGCTTCAGTCTAGGGAATTAACGTTGTGATAAAATATTATGTGTAAAATTCACTCATTTAAAAATGTATTATAGAGGGAAGAAGAAAGGGGAGAGCCAGGAATCAATATTTCCTAAAGAAATGGACAGATCAGAGACAGTGTTAGGAGCTCTTCATATACTATCTTGTTTAAGCCTCGTAGCACCACTGAAGGGCGGGTGCTATTATCCCCACTTTACAGATTAGAAAATAGAGGCTTACAGAGATTTTGTGACTTTCTACCATTTTTCAGCATGTAAGTGTCAGTGCTGGAATTCAAATATAGGTTTGTCTCACTCTAAAATATTTATTATTTTTTAATATTTTATTGAGAAAGGAGTCTCATTCTGTTGCCCAGGCTGGAGTGCCGTGGCACAATCTTGGGTCACAGCAACCTCTGCCTCCCAGGTTCTAGTGATCCTCCTGCCTCAGCCTCCTGAGTAGCTGGGACTACAGGTGCATGCCACCACACCTAGCTAATATTTTGTATTTTTAGTAGAGATGGGGTTTCACCGTGTTACCAGGATGGTCTCGATCTTCTGACCTTGTGATCCACCCACCTCAGCCTCCCAAAGTGCTGGAATTACAGGTGTGAGCCACTGTGTCCGGTCTATTTATTTATTTAGAGATGGAGTCTCACTCTGTCTCGCCCAGGCTGGGGTGCAGTGGTGGGATCTCGGCTCACTGCAGCCTCTGTCTCCCGGGTTCAAGTGATTCTCCTGTCTCAGCCTCCCGAGTAGCTGGGAGGACAGGCGTGTGCCACAATACCCTGCTAATTTTGTATTTTTAGTACAGACAAGGTTTCACTATGTTGGCCAGGCTGGTCTCCAACTCCTGACCTTAGGTGATCCACCTGCCTCAGTCTCTCAAAGTGCTGGGATTACAGGTGTGAGCCACCGTGCTCGACCTAAAACACTTAATTCATCAAAAGTACATTTTAAAAAAATCCCTAGTTTCAGGTATTTATTTTTTTAATTTTAATTTTTAAGCCCTCCCCTCCTTTTAAAAAAAATTTCCCACAAAAGAACATTTAGATACAGGTACAAGTCACTGCTGAATGGACATACAACATCTCACTTTAAGTAAATTCCACATGTAAAATATCCAGATTTGAGTCCCTCAGTCCTGTTGTGCCTAAAACCTGAACCATCCCTGGGTTCCCTGATGATTAAGCCAAAAGTTCCCATTTTTTATTAAATGGGTTTGAGGTTGTTTTTAATCACTTGCAGCTGATTTCGTATTACTCTCCATAAGTTGGTGCACGTGAGAAAAATCAAAATAATCACATTTTGGGTCACTGAGAGTGACAACAGGAATGAAATAATATTTTCTTTTCTTTTTTTTTTTTTTTTTTTGAGACAGAGGAGTCTTGCTCTGTTGCCCAGGCTGGAGTGCAGTGGTGTGATCTCGGCTCACTGTGAGCTCCGCCTCCCGGGTTCACGCCATTCTCCTGCCTCAGCCTCCCAAGTAGCTGGGACTACAGGTGCCCGCCACCACGCCCGGCTGACTTTTTGTATTTTTAGTAGAGACAGGGTTTCACCGTGTTAGCCAGGATGGTCTTGATCTCCTGACCTTGTGATCTGCCCACCTCGGTCTCCCAAAGTGCTGGGATTACAGGCGTGAGCCACCACACCTAGCCAATAGTCTCATATTCCAGCACCACCGGAAGGCCAGAAGGATCAATCTCTCTCTCTCTTTCTCTCTTGAGATGGAGTCTTGCCCTGCCACCCAAGCTGGAGTGCAGTGGTGCAGTCTTGGCTCACCGCAGCCTCTGCCTCCCGGGCTCAAGCGATTCTCCTGCCTCAGCCTCCCTAGTAGCTGGGATTACAGGCATGTGTCACTGCACCCAGCTAATTTTTGTATTTTTAGTAGAGACGGGGTTTCACCATGTTGCCCAGGCTGGTCTTGAACTCCTGGCCTCAGGTGATCCACCTGCCTTGACCTCCCAAAGTGCTGGGATTACAACAGTGAGCCACGGTACCCGGCCTATTTAGTTTTTTTTTTTTTGAGAAGGAGTCCCACCCTGTCACCCAGGCTGGAGTGCAGTGGCATCTCAGCTCACTGCAACCTCCGCCTTCCAGATTCAAGCAATTCTCCCTGCCTCAGCCTCCCAAGTAGCTGGGATTACAGACACCCATCACCATGTCCAGCTAGTTTTTTTGGTATTTTTTAGTAAGGACAGGTTTTCACCATGTTGGCCAAGCTGGTCTTGAACTCCTGACCTCAGATGATCCACCTGCCTCGCCCTCCAAAGTGGCTGGGATTACCGCGTAAGCCACTGCGCCCAGCCAGATACACATCTTTAAAATATTCCAATACTCTCTTCTAATGTGATATTGAAAGTGGAAAAAGAAAAATATGTTCACACTGAGCCTGGGAGTTAGTGACTCCCCACATGGCCAGTGGCAGTGTCTGCCGGGGCCGGTGGCAGGGGGTGAGAGGACTGGGGGCCCTGGATGCCAGACCCGGCTCCATCCCTCTAATGTCTGTATTTCTGAGTCTTAGGGTCCAAGTTTCCTCATTTGTAAACTGCAGATGATAAAAGCTGCCCTCCCTATTGATGATGTTGCCAAGAGAAATGAATCAAGTGCTTTACAAAGTTAAAAGGGTCTACTTTTTACTCACTGAATTTGAAAAAAATTGATACAGATTTTGTATTTCTATATTCCATGAACATGTTTTTTCCTGCTTCGAGACTGCCGTTTCATCTGTACAATGTAATTACTGCACTGCTGTTTTTGGATTTATGTACCTTCTTATAGATCATTTTAACTGCCTGTGATGGTACTAGTTAAAAGGTTACCATGGACTCATATATATCATGGAAAATTAGAATAATTTGATATATTAATAATTACACCATTATAGAATGATTTCAGCACCTGGGTCTCTTACCTTAATAATAATAGCTGGTATTAATTGGGTATTATCTATGTGCCAGGTACTTTGCACATTTTATCTCTTCTACACTTCATCCAATGAAGTAGTTACTGTTATTAGCCCCATCTTACAGATGAGAAAACTGAGGTTTGAAGAGTTCAAGTTAAATTGTACAAAGTGGGACATTTGGAAGATGGCAGGGATGGGATAATTGGCTGGGCACTGAGAGTTTCAGCGCTGTCTGCCTCCCTATCACTCATGTCAGGCTGGCTTGTGGTGCTGTGCGCAGGGGGATGACACTGCTCGTTCCAGTGCCAGGACACACCTTTGATGAGCCATTCTCATCCCTGCCTATACAATGAGGCAAAGGGACCAGAAAATTTCTGTAAAACATTTATGGAAAGGTGTCCTCTATGTCTTCTAGTATATAACTCAGGCCATGAAACAGGTATTTGAGTGATGAGCTCCCTGTCTTCACCATCCTGTTTCCTGATCTCCATTTCCCCCCATTCACCAGCAGTGGTTCCCAAGGCCTTGCTTCCTCCCCAGGGCATACCGTGGAGCACAGCTGGACTACCACTGCCTGGGTGACCCCCACCCAAGGAGCCTCACAGCCCTGACACCTACCAATATAAGCTGCTCCATCTGTCACCATGTACTTGTTGCGATTTAACCTAGGAAAGGTGTGATTCTTTTGTTCTTTTGTAGCACAAGCATTCTCTCTTTCCAGATCAAAAAATTTCTGTAAGACAAAAAGAGGTAAATAAGAGGAACATTTCTGGTCTTGTCCAAGAGCACAAAAGAATGTATTATCCAAATATCAACAATAGACCTCATGATGGGTTATTAAAGCCATAATCTTATTACCTCACATAGATGAAGCTATTTTTGTTCTCAAATCTAAATAGGCAACAAGAGAAAATTAGCATGCTCAACGAGGTATATAATTAACACTTTTAAGCTACAAAATGAACACAAAATTCCTTTTCTTTTTTCAGCAGGATAAGGGCCAGAAGGTTGTTTAATTCGCATTGTCTTATTCATCAGGGTGCGCTGGCATTTGAAGCATGCCTCAGGGTGCTTTCTGCCAAGCATGGCAATGAACTGAATGAGTATTCTTACATGTTGCATACATTACGTCAATGACTAGCTGATTAAACTAGGGATTTGCAAAGGTCAAAAGAGACTTTACCATAGGAACAAATACTTTTCCATCTGAACACCTAAGTCTAGGAGCTCTTTTGATAGGCAACTGAAAAAAAAAATCACAATTTCAAACCGTGAATTCTGAATTTCAACTTTTATTGACTCAGAAGGCAACTTTCCAGTTCACCCATGGCCAGGAATGGGGCAGCTAAAAGAAGGGGTATGACTGCAGGAACGGCCAGGCTATGCCTTAGGGATCTGCGGAATTTGCTAAATTCTCAGACAAGGCTTAAACTGTGGCTAAACTCATGGAACTCCATGACTCAGCTCACTGGAAGACATAGTCAAAGGTGAAAATATCAGTTATCCCCTATATGGGAAAATGGTGAGTATTTTCAGAACTGCCTGGAACCTTTTGGAATGTCCACAGCTATAGAATCATGTGTATTTAAAGGAAAGAAGAGGCAGGGAGGAAAATGGCATGATACCTAGAAAAGGAGATGTCATTTGCAGTTTTAAAACCGTAAGTGTTCACATTTGGCTTGAGGAAATAATGAGAGTTGGACTCCCCTCCCCTCGCGTGGTAGAACGGTGACAAGCTCGATGATCGCTAAGATCCCTTCTAGCCACAGAAGTTCTATTTTGAGTTTTTGTAAAACCCTCGAGGCCCACGGTGCAGAGATCAAAATCTACCTAAAAACTGTCTATTCCACAACGCAGGTAAGCATGTGATCTGTGTGGCTCTCAGGGCCACATCCCCACGGTTATAGACAGCGATACCTGGGTCACCCAGTGTCCTCAGTTCCTGTCTTCTGCAAAATCTGCATTGGTTTCTGGACTCTTCAAAGTGACCTAATAAGCTATGAATGTTCTTAAGTCACAGTTTTATGTTTATGAGGTCACACAAATATTGAGAGCATCACCACCAATAACAGCCAGAAGTTACCTCGCTTGGACATTCTATCACCACACATGGCCACACGTGTGACTGTTTCCTTTTGGGAAAGATATTATTGTAGAATCAAGATGGATTTCAAAAAGAATAAAATATACATCTTGAGTTAAGTCAAGGATAGAGTCACAGCTTGAGGCTTCAGTAGAAACCCATTTGCTCTAGAAAGTCAAAGATGGCCCTTAAGAGGGGAAACAGCTTTCATTGGAAGACTAAAACGACAGCAGAAATCAGGTTTTATTTACTGGTATTATTCGACACCTAATACACTGTGGGTGACAGCAAAGACATTTCAAAATGGATTTATTAGTTTGTTAAAAAAAAAAAACAAACTCTAAAAAAATCAGCTGACTAGGACAATTTTGTGCTTCGCAGTCTTTTCTCTTTCCATGAGCCCCTCATGGAGACAAATCCACATCAGGGCTGGAGGTGGTTGGAGGTGGGGGTGCCCACTCCTTTAAGGACGGAGATTCCCTACCTAGTTCCCAGGCCATGTGCTTTATCAGCACTACCAGGCTCCTGAAGACACGCTCTATGCAATATTCCAATCCCCACTTTTCTTGGAAGAGTTTATCACCCATCTGTGTTCTAGACATTAGGGCCATAAGCTTCTTGCCCATCTAGGCTTGTATTGATGCTTAGAAATGTATGTCCTCTGTTTTATACAATGGCTATGTGTGAACTATTAATGTTTGGTTTATTCAAGAAAAGTGACCATCTGTGTTCAAAAATATCAAAAAGAGGAAGCTGATTAAGTACTACAAAAGTTGCAATGATGGATTCTACTTTCCTTGTAATTTTTGGTAATTCTTAGAGCAGCTGACACTTCACGCCCTGGAATTTTCAACTGCAGGTGCCCTAGTGGCAGGTGTGCTGTGGGGCGGGGGGGGGGTCAAGAAACAGCGGGTGGGCATGGACCCGTGACTTGGCCAGAGGAGAATTTGGAAAAGGAGATTGGAGCAAATGCACCATATGGTATACCGAAAGCTCCAGACTGTCCTCTCTGCTCCTGCTAGACCTCGCGAATAACAGGGGCTCCTCTGAGTGCGGCTGTACTGACCTCCAGAGTGCACGACTTCACTGGGCAGCCTCTTCACCCGTGGTCACCCTTCCCCAGCACACGCCTGCAGAAAATGGCTAACCACACCTTGGACTCAGGCACTGTCCTGGGTTCTGCCCTGTCCCCTCACTGGCTTGCAGAATCTTTCTTATCACTCTGCCTTTATTAGCTCCCTTCTTTGACTTCATATGTCATGCATGCACTCATTCAACATGTATGTTTTGAAAACTCCAAGCGTCATGTGAGTCATTGGTGAACAAGACACCTGTTCTTTTTCTCACTTTTTCCTGGAGCTCCATATGCCACTGTAATTATCTGGAAAAAGCTGTTTCTGAGCTGAATCAATCCCAAGAGTTCTCTTGTCTGTGAAAAGGTATTGAATACAATTAGACTCCATTCTCCTGTGTCTCTGACTCCCTGGGACTGCACCTGCTTCTCCTCTGATCCTGGGTACCTGATTCCAAACCCAGGTTGGCGCCCTGATCCAACTCCTGGTTATTTCATTTATTTGAAAATCTGGCCTGGAAAACAGATATGTGGGTAGTAATCACAGTCAAGTTTTTATTTCTAATACTTATACTGATTTGTGACTACACAGATGTGTGCATGATTTCCTCAGTTTACAAAAACCAGTTAAATAGAGATCAGAATTTCCATTATCCATCAAAGTTACCAGACTATTAGGGAAATTAAGATGAAAACACAGGAGAGAAGCATTATTTTTGGAAATTTACAGTAAATTCTACATTTTTATGAATTTAAGTTATTAATAATTTCATGAAAAATAAAATTTAAAATATCTTACTGGCATGAATGAGTTACAAACATCTGACCTTTTTTTGATCCTCAGGGATATAATTTGGATGTGTAGCTTCTTGTATCTTTGGGCAGATGCAGTAGATGATGTTTTGTTTTTGCTTTGAGACAGAGTCTTGCTCTGTCCCCAGGCTGAAGTGCAGTGGCAATCATAGGTCACTGCAGCCTTGAACTCCTAAGCTAAAGTGATCCCCTGGCCTCTACCTGCTGAGTCCTGAGTCCCTAGGACTACAGATGTGCACCACCACACCTGGCTAGTTTTTTTTTTTTTTCATTTTTTTTCCTTTTATGTAGAAATAGGGTGTTGCCATGTTGTCCAGGCTGGTCTTGAACTCTTGGCCTCAAGGGATCCACTTGTCTTGGCCTCCCAAAGTGTTGGGATTACAAGTGTGAGCCACTGCACCTTGGTGTATATGACGTTTCTGAATATAGATAAGAAAGATTAAAAAGGGCTTTGTGACTGCAATGATCTCTTCTACATGCTGGGGCCTTGGAGACATGTTTAAGAGTTCAGGTTCTGGAGTTCAAAAGACTTAGGTTTGAGTCTTGCCCCATTACTCATGAGTGTCCTGGAGAGAGGTTATCTAATGTAAGCTTCAGTTCCCATGTCTATAAAATAGGGAAAGTACCTGTTTCACAGGGTATTGTAAATATTATTTCTCTTAAGTGTTTTTGTAGAGATGGGGTCTCCCTACGTTGCCCAGGCAGGTCTTGAACTTGTGGCCTCAAGTGAACCTCCTGCCTTGGACTCCCAAAGCACTGAGATTACAGGCATAAGCCACATGTCTGCCTGTCTGGTTGTGGATATTACATAATCTATATAAGGCATTTAACTCAGTGCCTGGATAACTGTATATACTCATGAATATTCATGAATATAACACATTTCTTCATTTATTTAAAAAGTATTAAGTACTTACTAAGTTCAGGCAATGTGAAGTGTGTGTTGCTATAACAGCAACACAACAAAAACTTAATAAATGATGTAGCACTGGTTTACTCATTGGGCAGCAGGCAGCAAGTAAATTGGTATTGTAGGATGGAAAGATGAAATCTCATGTTATATAGTGACAAACTATTTGGTAAAACCATAACCAGCATTTATTTGGAAGGCATACCAAGTACCACCGAACCTTTGGCTAATAGGGCTTTGGCTGTAGGGACTGGGGAAATGAATTGTTTGTACTGTGTGTGGTTATTTGTGTTTTTTTTTTTTGAGACAGGGTCTTGCTCTGTCTGGAATGCAGTGGCGCAATCTCGGCTCACTGCAACCTCTGCCTCCCGGGTTCCAGGTAATGCTTGTGCCTCAGCCTCCCAAGTAGCTGGGATTTCAGGCGTGCACCACCACGCCCAGCTAATTTTTGTATTTTTACTAGAGATGGGGTTTCACCATGTTGTCCAGGCTGGTCTTGAACTCCTGACCTCAAGTGATCCACCTGCCTTGGCCTCCCAAAGGGCTGGGATTATAGGCGTGAGCCACTGTGCCTGGCCTGTTAGTTGTGCTTTTAAAAAGCTTATGAGAGGAGATAAATAGGCTCAGGGAAGGAATGGCTAGTTTACAAGTGGAAATGATAGAGAGCAGATAGATCAGAAATTTGGTATTTCACAGGGTTAGAAAGCTGATTGTACCTAGAACTCAATAGAAAATAAGTATGAAAAATCCTTTAAGTGGCCAGTGAAGACTGAGCCCTGTAGAAAAGATGAAATAATTGGTGTAATTTTAATAGGGGTAATCTTCCCACCTGTGTCTGATGGTCTTGAATGAACCCTATCATTAGAGAGAGAGAGAGAAGTCTATGAAGTAGAAAGCATAATTCATCAAGTTAGGGAATTATGTACAACAAGAAACTTTGGACATGGCTATGGATACATGGAAATAACTAGAAGCAAGTACATCAGAACCTGCTACATTTCTGAGAAACTTGCATTGCCCAAGAAACCAACCAGCTCATGCTAGGACCACAAACTCCTTTAACTGTTCATGCCTTAAAACAACCTTGGGGCTGGGCGCGGTGGCTCAAGCCTGTAATCCCAGCACTTTGGGAGGCCGAGACGGGTGGATCACGAGGTCAGGAGATGGAGACCATCCTGGCTAACACGGTGAAACCCCGTCTCTACTAAAAAATGCAAAAAAACTAGCCGGGCGAGGTGGCGGGCGCCTGTGGTCCCAGCTACTCGGGAGGTTGAGGCAGGAGAATGGCGGAACCCGGAGGCGGAGCTTGCAGTGAGCTGAGATCCCGCCACTGCACTCCAGCCTGGGCGACAGAGCGAGACTCCGTCTCAAAAAACAAAAAAACAAAAAAACAAAAAAACAACCTTGGGTCCTGGGTCTGAACCAGCAGGCGTATGAGGACTTCACAATACCTTCCCAGAAGAGCTTTATAATTGCTGTGGACCAGGGACCGCCATGGGCCTCCGAACCTTCCCTTTCTAATGGCGGTTTTCCTTGTGCTTATCCTGTTTCTGTACTCAGGAAGGGAGATAGCCTTAACCTGATTTTGGGTATTTTTTGGTGAGTGGTGGGGAATTCTTACTGTTCTGTTTTAGTTTTTACATTGACAAACTATGATGTACCGCTTTCAGGCTCGATGTCCAGAAATGCACATCACCGGAAGACTGTGCAGTGACTGCGTGAAACTTTGCGTTTTCTCCCCTGTGGGAGGTGGGAATGAGGGTTCTCTAAGAGGGAAGAGGAGTGAAATGGATCCTGTGTACCAGGAACTTCAGATCATGATGATTCACAAACCTGTTCCTTTGTCACCCTGGAAACACAGTTGGCTTTCTGAACAGGGTCATAAGCCTCCCTGGCTATTAGGCATGGCCATGTGAAAGCTATCCAGGCAGTGGAATGAAGGCTAAAGGGACGTTCCCTACCTCCAGGCCTAATCCAAAAGGGCCTCTCACACAGCCCTCCAGTTCTGCTCTTCTCCTGTCTGGCCTTGGGATATTCAGGGTCAGGGCGATCATGGAAGCCATGTGTCAAAGTTAACTGCAGAGCCCTTGATACCCTGGGTCCCTAAATCAAGGGATGCAGCTTGGTTACCTAGAAGAGAGCCTGCCACAGGCCAGATTCTCAGTGCGTGTTTGTTGAATGACTGCATGGGGGTTGAGGAAAGCTGAGACCTATAGGATTAGTGGTTATGAAGTGGGTAAACATGGAGAAGAAGAGTGTTGTAGGCAGAGGGAATAGCTCGCACCAAGTCTGGAGCGGAGGAAGAGGGCGATGAGGATTGGAGTAGAGTCAAAGACGTGCTAGAGAATTAACACATTTCAGATCTATTCCCAATTCCCAATCTTACCTCCCTCAAGGTCTCCAGAGGTGGATTAGTATGTGGCCCGAGGGACCCGCGGCAAGCATGGGGACCCAGACTAGGAGGCTTTGGGCTGGGGGAGTCTGTGCTGGTGCACGCACCAGTGCTCTGTTGGTCACAGTCTTACAAGTAAGAACAGTAGGTGAATGGGGTAGTTCAAGCAAAATAGAGAGGGCCAGGCACGGTGGCTCATGTCGGTAGTCCCAGCACTTTGGAAGGCCAAGGTGGGCAGATTGCTTGAGCCCAGGAGTTCAACACCAGCCTGGGCAACATGGTGAAGCCCCATCTCTACCAAAAATGCAAAATTAGCTAAGCCCAGGGATCAAGGCTGCAGTGAGCCGGGATTGTGCTACTGCACTCCAGCCTGGGTGAAGAGCAAAACACTGTCTCAAGAAAAAAAAAAAAGAAAAGAAAAAAGAAAATGGAAAGGATGCAACAGAAAGGGAGAAGAGGGCTGGACAGAGAAGGTATCAGGAAACATGAGCTCTACTCTCCTTTTTTTGTATGTGATTGTTTTGAAAAAATTAACGTGCTTTTTGAAGATTGTCATCCTGGTTCTCACTGTAAGTTTACACGTAGGTGTATGCTTGCAGCTTTCACACACATGCAGAGGGCATTCACTTTTTATTTAGTAACACAGTCAACACAATACTTACGACTTTCAAACTGCAGTTGGCTATTTCGGTGCAAATCGCTTTAAGAGATGAAATAAAGTTAAACGTAAGGGGATCAGTTTCCTTCCAGAAGCTTATGAGGAGTCGAACTCTAACGCTTCGTAAAACTAATGCTTCTCTTATTTTTGCATCCAAGTCTGGCCAGTAAGTCCTGCAGAAATCATATCCAAATAGTAAAAATAAAGAAATTAAGTTAGTTTGGGGAAAGAAGTTTACTAGACAGCACAGAACATTGATATTACTCTGATCATTACTTTATCCTGTAATATATAAACAACCTCATCGGAGAGGTTGAAAAACATACAAGCCTCTTAGCTTAGGCACCAGGAAATGATGATTTGCTGGGACCTGCCCCTGCCTAAAAGGAGGTTTCCTGCCACCAGGTCCTTGGGCTGTGTGGGCTGGGGTGAGGACAGGCTGACTGCCACCACAGGCCACCTTTACTACATCTCTGATGCTACCTGGGCCTCAGTCCGCTAAGAACTGATTATCCAGTAGAATTCCAGTTAGGAACCCTGAGCACCCCCTCAGTCCCCAAATGCCACTAAAACTTCTCTTTGGTGACTGTCCCCGAAATGAACTTCTGCTCTGGTCATCTGAGCTTCCCCACACTTTCCATTCCCGACTGTCCTTGCCGTGGTCTCTCCTGACCAAGACTCCCACTACTCCCCTCCCTTCCACATTTTCTGCAGGGCTTTTGGAATCTTCCAACAGGCAAAGTTTCCCCAACAGGCTCGGCCTTTCTCTGAATCCTTAAGCCTTTGCCTTAACTGAATCCTGATTCCTCCCTGAGGCCGCAGCTTCTCCTGGAATCCTGCGTGCATCTCCTACCATGACCTGGCCGCTTGGTTTATGATGCTGGGCAGCCTCCTGCTCTGCCTCTGCCGGCCCCCAACACACGCCGTCACTTCCAGAACTGTCATTTAATTCTTATGTTAAAACAAAAAGCTTTCCTGTCTTAAGGACCAAGCCTTAAATCATTCTCCCTCCCCTCGGCCCTGACATTTGTAGACCTTTTGTTTACTCATCAAACTCTTACCCTATATTCTGGGCCAATTCAGTATTTGAACTAATGATATATTATTTGAAACGGTAGCCTGCCAGTGTCATGATCATTGCACCTCTAAAGGCCTCCTGTCCTGATTCCCCACTCTCTTAACCACTCTTTCGTCACATGCAGGCTGCAGATTCATGACGCCTTCAATCAGCCCGGCCCATCAGCCTCTCCTGTCTCCCTTGCCTGCCCAGCCTCATCTCAGTTCTGATCACTTGAATAATACTTGCCTCTCTACCTTCCTCTTGCTCTCGGCAAAAATCTAGATCCTGGATCCACACTACAGTTCTCTTTGGTTTTATACCCATGAAGCTGAGGAAAGACCGTCTCAGCCTTGTGCTGGAACTCGGTTTCTCTGCCTCCAGTCAGGTACTTCCTCGATGACCACCACAGTGATCATCTAAGGCAGACCTGGCGAGGCTACTTCTTGAATTAAAACAGTGGGGCCGGCGTGGTGGCTCACACCTGTCATCCCAGCACTTTGGGAGGCCAAGGTGCATGGATCACTTGAGGTCGGGAGTTTGAGACCAGCATGGCCAACATGGTGAAACCCCATCTCTAATAAAAATACAAAAATTAGCCGGACATGGTGGTGTGCGCCTGTAGTTCCAGCTACTCGGGAAGCTGAGGCAGGAGAATCACTTGAACCCAGGAGGTGGATGTTGCAGTGAGCCGAGATCGTGCCACTGCACTCCAGCCTGGGTGACAGAGGAAGACTCCACCTCAAACAAAACCAAAACAAAACAAAACCCACCCCTCCACAAAAATCCATCAAGTGGAACCGCCACAGAGTCACAAGACTCCCCCAGTGGTTGGGATCTCTGGTTTCTGGCCCTTGCCCCCTCTTCAATTAGATCTCTCACCACTTTACCTTGAGCTCTTTTTTTCTCCATCTGAAACTTGGCTCATGCTGTCCCTTCCACTGGGAAAATTTTTCACCCTTTCTGACAAATTCCTGAGTTTTAAAAAGTTTTTTTCAAGAAATTTTTGTGGAGAAACTGAATATTTTGAATTGTAAATCAGTGAGCATCTCCTCCAATGGGCTGCTTCTAACCCTGAAGCTGCACGGCGGGGGCTCTTTTACCTAGCGTCTGTAATATTCTCTATAGACGTTCACTGTACCAGTCACACCTCTGTTCTAACAGTCTCTTTCCTGTCCTGTTAGATGGAGGTTGAGATCATATGCTCCTCATGCTTTAATCACTAGTCACAGTGCTCAATAAATATTTGTTGAATGAGGCTGGGCGTGGTGGCTCACGCCTGTAATCCTAGCATTTGGGAAGCCAAGGCTGGTGGATCACCTGAGGTCAGGAGATCGAGACCAGCCTGGCCAACATGGTGAAACCCCATCTCTACTAAAAATACTAAAATTAGCCCAGTGTGGTGGCATGTGCCTGTAGTCCCAGCTACTACTCGGGAAGCTGAGGCAGGAGAATCACCTGAACCTGGGAGGCTGGGAGGCAGAGGTTGCAGTGAGCCGAGATCTTGCCATTGCACTCAGCCTGGGTGACGAGAGTAAAACTCTGTCTCACAAAAAAAAAAAAAAAAAAAATTGTTGAATGAATACATAAAAAGCATTAATACTTGAAAGACTAATCAGGCTACATTTTTATTATTCCTTTACACACTTACTGATTTCCTTGTGAAAGATGTATTTTATGTGACTGAAGAAATAAATAATGAACAACTCCAAACTGAGACCTAAATAATTAAGTGACTTGCTTAAGAAAGAGAGCTTGATTGCTAAATCAGGAAGAAGTGAAATAGGGCTTCTGAATTTTTTTTTTTTTTTTAAATGGAGTTTCACTCTTGTTGCCCAGGCTGGAGTGCAATGGCGTGATCTCGGCTCACTGCAACCTTGGCTTCCCAGGTAAGTGATTCTCCTGCCTCAGCCTCTCAAGTAGCTGGGATTACAGGTGCCTGCCACCATGCCCAGCTAATTTTTGTACTTTTAGTAGAGATGGGGTTTCACCATGTTGGTTGGGACGGTCTATAACTCCTGACCTCAGGTGATCCGCCCACCTTGGCCTCCCAGAGTGGTGGGATTATAGGCGTGAGCCACTGTGCCTGGCTGGCTTCTGAATTTTTACTGTAGGATTTATTTAGTCACAGAACATTGCTCCATTCCCTTCCTACTATCTTGAAAAGTAGAAGTTATTTCTAACACTATGGCTAAATAATAGTGTGTGTTTTTTATACATGCTGTTAATCATTTCTGATTTGAGAGTGTATGTTTTTTTCTCTTTCATTTGGATGGTTGGCAATATATAGACTAAAAGTTAAGTCTGAAAGATTAATTCCATTAACATACTGAAATTTGATAGTATTTACCTATTTATTAAAGTTGAATTCACTCCTGAAAAGCTTTTCTGGGACTAGATAAAGACGAGTCACCAGTCTGAATTTATACAAATAATTAATTTATCTGATTGAGAAGAATTTAATTATAATCTTGATGCTTGGACAACTACTTATGTCTCTTTGATGATCTTTCAATTTAGAAAGTTAAAAGCATTTACAGGTTTAAAATTTTAAAAATACAATAAAAGAAGTTTCATTTAATAGCTGAAATGGTAGATTCATAACCAAAATGCAAAATTTCAAGTGAGCCTCTGATTCTTTAACATTCTTTTCGTTTTTTCTGGATTTCTAAAATATTTTAGATCCTCCATGCTAATTATTTACCCCTTCACCATAAAGAATCTCAATTTTGTTCATAGAACTTCAGGGAACAAAGGTTTTGTCAATCCTGAGAAATCATCATGCCATCCTAACATGTAACTCCCTGAACTTGAACTTATTCTCCTTCTCAATAACAGGAAAATCAGGTAAAACCCCTATTATGTTTTGAAATGTTCCCAAAGTGGAGGTAAAATCTAAAACTAAATCTAAAACCAAGTGAACAACAAAGGGAGGAAAAATAAAAAGGAGGGATAGAAAAGGTGTGGAAGTGTGTCGGGAAGAAAATCCATGAATGTCCAAAGGATGCTCTCTCTGTGTGTGTGTGTGTGTGTGTGTGTGTGTGTGTGTGTGTGTGTGTGTATTGAGATGGAGTCTCACTCTGTTGCCCAGGCTGGAGTACAGTGATGTGATCTTGGCTCACTGCAACCTCTACCTCCTGGGTTCAAGTGATTCTCCTGCCTCAGCCACCTGAGTAGCTGGGATTACAGGCGTGTGCCACCACACACAGCTAATTTTTGTAAAGATGCACAATATTTTAAAATAAAAGTGTTTAAATAAATGCATCTTGCAGCTAAAAGTGCTTTTCTACTAACTGTTATAAGAAACAATCATTTTCTTGGAGAAAGACTCTTTCTGTAATCCTATGGTTATTTGCACAAAGAAGCTACATATTATGCATCATGTAGGGTTGGTGATGTAAAAATTATTCAAGCAATATAGGGCATACTTAATCATTTAGTCTCAGTAAATGGTTATTTTGAAACTGTAATATTCCAAATTAAAAAGGCCTTGGGTCACACTCCGAAAAATATGCACTTTGAAAACATTTCCTGGATCAAACTAATTATTCAAGCACCTCTGCATTCCAGCAAGAAAGCAAAAGTGGAAATACCTAAGCATGGCCATGCATTTATGCATGCAATGATTTTCCAAAGAGTTTGTCATAAATTCCATCCCTGAATTTATTCCATGTTTGCATGCTTGAACAATGATGAATTATTGAAAAGCATTGCATTTTTAAACTGTTCTCTTTTCACAGAGAAGGATGGATTGACTGAGAACATATATAAGTTTCTCTTTTTTTTTTGAGGTGGAGTCTCTGTCTGTTGCCCAGACTGGAGTGAGTGGCGCAATCTCGACTTACTGCAAACTCCACCTCCCTGGTTCACGCCATTCTCCCGCCTCAGCCTCCCAAGTAGCTGGTACTACAGGCACCTGCTACCATGCCCGGCTAATTTTGTTTTTGTATTTCTAGTAGAGACAGGGTTTCACCGTGTTAGCCAGGATGGTCTCGATCTCCTGACCTCGTGATCCACCCGCCTCAGCCTCCCAAAGCTCTGTGATTACAGGCATGAGCCACTGCGCCCGGCCTCTTTCTCCTTTACATTGAGAAGATATTATGAGAATTTGGCATTAAATGAAGACTGCTGTGAATATAAAACAACAATGCTTCCCTTAAGGAAAGTCTGGCAAGACTACTCAGTTTCAATACACCCTTTTCAGGTATATCCTTGTTAATAATTTTCAAAGGATATTTTTTTTTCATATAATATTTTATCTTTTATCCTTTCAAATAATTTTCAAGTTGAGAGCAACCTAATTTTCTTTAGAAAGTTACTCTCATTTCCTTAATGTAAACTACTGAGGTACTTCTGTAGGGTGAGACCCTAAGCCTTTAAAATGGACTCACTTTAGGAAGAGGTCCATAATGAGTAAATTGCCAGTGCACACTAAAGAGCACTGAATGGTGTACTCTTCCTAAGGCAGCCCAATGGCATCTCCATTTCCAGGCTGGCTTCTCCTGTGGTGCCCAGTTTAGTGCCTGGTCTTAGGGATGGGGTTCTCACCAGAGGCTGGGCATTCACTGACCTTTTGGTGCTCGTGCTGGAGATAGGCAGGTAGTCCATGACAGCGATGTACACGTACTGCTTGGCGTCGTCTATCACACTGTAGATGGCATCTATGTCAAAACTTCTGTTTTTAGGGCAAAAGAGTTTTGGAGAATTCTGTGAAGACACAAAAGCCGAACGTTTAGCGTACTACTTTTTGGCAGCCGGGGATTTCTTTATTTCCTTTGTTCCCATGGACCTTGGCTTCTAACTATATTTTTGCCAACCTAATTTCTGCTTCATCAAATTAGACAAAGCTATTTTTAATCTTATCAAAGTTGAATAAAGATCAAAGTGTGGTGGGATGGGTCTCAAGTCTGTTTTGGAGAGAATTCTTTCATTATCTGACACATTTTGATTTTCAATTTTTATGTATTAAAAATTTAATTGATACATAATTGTATATATTTGTGGGGTACATAGTGACATGATTCATATAATGTATAGTGATGAGATGGTAATCAGCATATCTGTCATCTCAAACTTTATCATTTATTTGTATTGGAAACATTCAATATCTTCCTTCTAACTATCTGAAACGAATATATCATTGTTAAGTATAGTCGTAGTTAACTACAGTCCTCTAGAACAAGGGTCTCCATTCCCCAGGCCAGGGACCAGTGCTGGGCAGCAGAGCAGGTGAAAGACAGGCAAGCAAAGCTTTGTCTGTATTTACAGCCACTCCCTTGCTGGCATCACCGCCTGAGCTCCGCCTCCTGTCAGACCAGTGGGGGCATTAGATTCTTATAGGAGCGTGAGCCCTACTGTGAACTGCACATGTGAGGGATCTAGGTTGTGCGATCTCCTTATGAGATTCTAATGCCTGGTGATCTGTCACTGCCTGCCATCACCCCCAGAGGAGAACATCTAGTTGCACAAAAATGACTCAGGGTTCTCACTAATTCAACAATGTAGTGAGTTGTATAATTATTTCATTATATATTACAATGTAATAGTAATAGAAATAAAGAGCACAGCCAGGGGTCGTAGCTCAAGCCTGTAATCCCAGCACCTTGGGAGCCCAAGGTGGCCGGATCACTTGAGGTCAGGAGTTCAAGACCAGCCTGGCCAACATGGTGAAACCCCGTCCCTAGTAAAAATACAAAAAATTAACTAGGCATGGTGGTGGACACCTGTAGTCCCAGCTACTTGAGAGGCTGAGGCAGGACAATCGCTTGAACCCGGGAGGCAGAGGTTGCAGTGAGCCGAGATCGCACCACTGCACTCCAGCCTGGGCAACAGAGCAAGATGCTGTCTCAAAAGAAAAAAGAAAAAAAGTGCACAATAAATGTAATGCCCTTCGATCATCCCAAAAGCATCCCTGCTGACCCTGGTCCATGGAAAATCTGTCTTCCATGAAACCAGTCCGTGGTGCCAAAAAGGTTGAGGACCACTGCTATAGAACAATGGAACTTATTCTTCCTATCTTGCTGTTATTTTTTTTTTAATTTATTTTTATTTATTTTTTTTTTGAGACGGAGTCTCGCTCTGGACTACAGGCGCCTGCCACCTCGCCCGGCTAAGTTTTTGTATTTTCAGTAGAGACGGGGTTTCACTGTGTTAGCCAGGATGGTCTCGATCTCCTGACCTCGTGATCCGCCCGTCTCGGCCTCCCAAAGTGCTGGGATTACAGGCTTGAGCCACCGCGCCCGGCCCTTGCTGTTATTTTTATATCCATTAACAAATCTTTCCCCATCCCCTCTTTTCCCAGTCTCTAGTATCCTCTGTTTTACTTTTTACTTAGGAGATAATTCTTGCTTTCCATGCACACACTTCTTTTTGGAGGAGCACTCCACCTCCAACCTTACACAATTCGGTCATACATAGCTATAATTTTCTCAGGTGCTACTGCACATGCACACATACTGCACATAGCAAGCCATTTACCCCAGCATTTTCATTTCATCTGAAATGTGATGATGTGGGCATGAAAATGTTTCAAACTCAAAATCGAAACAAAAACAAACTGAAAAATCTTGGAGTTTTTTTTCGTTTCTCCAAAATCTTTCATTGAGTTAGGAGAAGTGTTGATCGTTGAGAAAAGGTCATCGATAACAGTGCAAGAAAATCTGAGGGAGCTATTAAGATGCCCAAATTCAGCAGGAGAGCCAGAGAAGAAGGACGTTCTGAGAGATTTAAGCAAAATGAAAAAAGAGGCAAATTCTGCTGGAGGCATTTTTCTCATGTTGCTTAAGGTGGTTTTCATTTTATAAAAATACAGTGTTTGTAGATGCAGTTGCTGTAGAAAAGGAAAGATGTGCTTGGTTTTCTCATCATTTTTCCACTGGACAGGACTGAAAATAGTGTTTCTCATAGTTCCTGTTTTCCTTTGACAAGCAATACGCTGTGACAAGTATCACATAAATAATGCCAGGGGCATTATAATGGGACATAAATAATGCCAGGATGTTTAATACCAAAAGGCTGAATAAACTGATTTTTGGAACTGCCTGGAATGAATGGTAGTATTGGGCGGTCAGAGTTCCTCCTCACCAATTATGTCTGGAACAACTCCCTACACTGCACAGTAGGAGTCCCCACCCCAGCTTAGAGGGTTGTGAGATGGAGCTGTTGGACTGGATGCCCACCTTAGGAGGGGCATAGGGGTAAGGAAGGAGCATGCTGAGGATAACACACCTTCCAGGTTTCCTCACACAGAAAGCCCTCTTGGCAGGTGATCATGAGCAGGATGAGTTGGTTTTTTAAAAAACAATTTCAACTTTTATTTGAGATACAGGTGCAGGTTTGTTACATGGATATATACTGCATGATGCTGAGGTTTGAGGCACAACTGATCCCATCACCCAGGTAGTGAGAATAGTACTCAGTAGTTTTTCCACCCGTGCCCCCTTCATTACCCCCTGTGCTAGTGGTCCTCAGTGTTTAGTGTTGCCATCTTTTTGTCCATGAGTACCCAATGTTAACTCCCACTTATAAGTGAGAACATGGTATTTGGTTTTCTGTTCCTGCATTGATTTGCTTAGAATAATGGCCCCTAGCTGCAACCATGTTGCTGCAAAAGACATGATTTTATTCTTGTTTATGGTTGCGTAGTATTCCATGGTGTATATGTACCGTATTTTCTTTACAGGTTGAGTTTTTGATCGTTTATGTTTTTCTTTTGGAATGAGGATGAACTTCAATCCTGTTTTTTAAAGGTAGTCCTACACTCCTCTGTCATCAGCACACAGATATACAGACACTCCATCTGTCACCAAGACAGAAAGCCTGTGCCTCTGCAGGGTTTCCTGGGTCTTGATCGCTCAGTAAGTTTCCCTCACTCGGGCACTAGTGCTGCTTGCAGGGATGTTCTAACATCTTTCTAACTAACTGGCTTATCTCTGGGATGTTTAAAAACAAATATACATCACTCCCAGGATGAACTGACTCCTGGTTTCTCAGAATTCAGCTTGAACTCATTGGGAGGGGTGTATCCATGGTCCTGTGTGTCTGCCTCCTTCATTTACCAACTCCCATCCTGTCTGTGACCCCAGATGCAAGTAATTACCAGTCCACAGCTGTGCCCTCATCATGTCTGACTCCAGGCATCTCTGCTCATGCTGGCTTCTCTGGCTGATGTGTCTTTATTTTTGTCTATCAAAGTCCTACACTAATTCTGTTCTCTAAATTCCAGCTCAAATGTGATCTCCTCCATTAATTTTTTTTTTAATCGAGTCTTGCTCTGTTACCCAGGCTGGACTGCAGTGGCACAATCTCAGCTCACTGCAAACTCCACCTCCTGGGTTCAAGCAATTCTATTGCCTCAGCCTCCCGAGTAGCTGGGATTATAGGCGCCCGCCACTACACCTGGTTAATTTTCGCATTTTAGTAGAAATGGGGTTTCATCATCTTGGCCAGGCTGGTCTTGACTACCTGACCTCATGATCCACCTGCCTCAGCCTTCCAAAGTGCTGGGATTACAGGTATGAGCCACCACACCCAACAGTTAAGTTGTTTTTAAATCTCCAAAGGTTGCTTTTCCTAACCCTGTACTCCCATATTATTTATTTCTTTTGCTTTTTCTTTTTTACCATTTTTAAGTGTACAGTTCAGTGGATTTTAGGGATTGTATGTTACACATTTTCCTATGCCGTTAAAAATATTCAAATTATTTAATTCCCTTAGCCTGTCGGCTCTGCTTTAAAGGTTCTTTGGTTAACGTGGAGAAGCTGAAGGTCTTTGCTCCAGATGGGCGCTTAGGCCAACTCTGAAATGTGTCCGAACGCTCACATTTGTGTTTCAGTTAGGAACTCCCTGAATTTCACTGCTTGTTCCAAAACCAGATTTTGGTTTTGGGGAGGAAGAAATGTAGGCAGAGTTGTTTGTGGTCTCTTTACATTTGCTATTATCTTACAAATATGGACACTGTGGCCATAATTTAGAGGAAAGACCAGGGGCTTTGGTGATACGGGCCAGACTCCAGCACTTAGAACCTGGGGCATCTTGGTGTGTCCCTTACACTTTTTGAGCCTCTGTTTCCTAATGGGGTTAATGACAATAACACACCTTTCATACTGGTTTGCCTTGCAACTCAAATACATGAATGGCCTGTTCGCTGGCTGGGTTCCATGCCCCTCTTCTGTGCGAGCTTTCATTCAATCAGCAAATATTCCCAGGCTCTGGTCTAGGAAGGGGACATACATCAGTGACCAAGACAAGATCCTTCCTTTGTGGAGCTTCATTCTAGCACATGTTACATGGAATTGCATTCATCTGTCTATGTGTTTAGCCACTTGCTTGTGAGCTGCCTGGTTGTGTAGCTCTGGCATCTTGTGCCATGCACATATTACATGCTCAATACATACTTGTGGAACGAATGTGAAAATGCTTCATAAATGCATAAACATTGGAGGTTTGTCTGTGGGAGTCTGTTGCTTCAATCTGGGTATTTCCAAACCTGCGTCAACAGATCTTTATAAGCACTTACCTGCCCTATTGCTTCCTGTGTTCCCACTGCCTGACACAATGGCAGGTGCTCGAGCTCCATGTGTTTATGAAGGAAATGCATATTTGTATCAGTCCCCATGCACCTGCGGGCTGGGTGGTACTCCGCTATGTGTTCTAGAGTCTTCTACCTTTAAAAATAGTGCCTGGATAGACTAGTGGCTTTAAAATGT